AAAAAAAAAAAAAGAAAAGCTTTGGCTTATAGTATTATCTATTTTTGTCTCATCTTTAACCTATTTTAGAATTAACACCAACTAAGCAAAAACAGTTTTTTTTTTATTCTCTCTCATCTCACTGGTCTAAAGCGCTATGCAACATATGTGAGCAGGGAAATAAAGATATCTTTCTAAATAGCAGTAAGAAACAGATGATTTATCAGAGGCATTTAAAAATATTAATGGTGTAAAGACAGCTTGACGAATACAGGATGATTATTCTCTTCTCCACAGGCCAAAGCATTACCGTGGCATTCTTCCAAACAAGATGTTTGATTTCTATTTTAGTTGAGATTTGACAGAAAAAGATTTCATTTTTACATTATTTAGAAGAAGTGCATATTTGTTCTGTCCTTTTTCCTGCTTGCTCCCCTTGATTACCCTGTTGCCTTTCTATTTGTATTGTTTCAAATGGTTTATTAGCTGTGGTCAGACACCGGACGGCCTTTAGGAGTTAAACATCTTACAGAGTCTAGTGTTATTTTAAGGTGTGCTGTTCAAACACCTACCAACTGCACACTTGATGTTTAGTGTCTGGAACAGATACATAACAGGACAGATGAAGAGCACAGTAGCCTGGAAATGATGCAGACTGAAATTAAAACGTGAATCTGCTCTGGGTTCTGAAGTTCTCTGTGGTTCAACACCTAAGTTCTAGGGCAATCCTCTAGTTCATAATTAGCTAAGGTAATAAAGAGAGAAATTAAGAAATCCCAATGGTAATCTAAGTAAAGAAATAAAAAGGCTTTGCACCAGATGAATCTTGTGCTTGAATTTCACGTAACAAGCAATAAGAGTAGCCTCCCTATATCCTTTCCCTGGCCACACATTCCCTGTGCCCAGGGAACCAGGAATGGTTGCCCTGAAGTCAACTGCTTCAACGAGCTCATCTGACAAGACAAACACACCAAAAAATAAGTGTTTTCCATTGAACGGGCTTGCCTAGCTGTTTCTTGCTGTAGTCTCACTGCTACAGACTCTCACATGAAGGGGAGGAAGACAGAATACCTGGCTGAAGAGACGGAGAAGATGGCACTTTTCAGCATCAGTCCGTGGCCACACCCCCCCAGGTGTACCCGAAAACGGCACCATGCAGGTGTGCTTCCCACGGGGAGGTTAGGCGACCCAACACTTCCATGGGGAACACCTTCCTCCTCCTCCCCGCTCAGCTCCTGACAACTAGGCCTTCCATGGGCAGGCCTCACTCTCTAATCCAGAAGGAAATGAACCCAACAAAAACATGAGGTATTTGTCTGTCTTGTTATTAAGTGGCTTATGGAAGCGTATGATGGCAGAGGGTAAGGGAGGGCAAGCACCTGGCAGCTGGGGAGGGAACTCCCTTCCCAGTGGCTCAGCTTCTTGTAGATCTGACACTGTAGAAATCAGTTTGCTCTGCAGATGATCTCCTAGAGGTCAATTCTAGAACAGATAAGACTCAGCTGAGCAGGATGAGGCAAGCCATTTTTGCTTGTGGTAACAGGCTCTTAATATTGTGATCGATATGCCATTGAAAAGCCAATCTGAAATCAAAAAGATTCTGAGATATCTTGTAATCTCACTACGAGTGGAAAGATACAGCCATGGCTGCCCAACTTAAAACGTTCTCAGACTATGGAAAACAAATTAGGCAATAATGCGTAGTTATTCAGGGAGGATATAGGCTTTTAAGGAGCATATCTGGCCCAAAACCAACCCATCTATGAAAAAGTTTACCCGAGGGAAAGAAAGCCAAGAGCACTGAAGAACAGAGGAAACAGAGGTTCTGTTGTTTTGGTCGGGTAAGTGTTTCAAGAGTCTATTCAGCCACGCAGTGCTACCACAGCGAGCCCATGGGCCAAGTTTGGGGCACAAGCTATTTCACCCAGCCTTCCCCTTTGTCCTAATGCAGACGACCCCTCTGACATAGTCTGGAGGCTTTTCCATGTGTGTCTCCACACAGGCAGGCATTCCCTGATGCCTTGAGACTCACGCTATCCTCCTACGGAGCATCAGTTAGGACACATAAGCCTCTGCCAAGAAACCTGCACTTTTAGCCACTGCTGCATTTACAGGGGAAGGGGTGGAGAGGAACTGCAGACTTTATAGGAAGCAGACAGCTCTCTATGCTGCATAGAGGAGGGACAGCTTGGGGGAGAGGGTGAGAAGGGCAGCTACTCCACTGAAAAAATGGTGATGTTGACATGGTTAGGTGGGAGAAGCACTGCTGTCAAAAGGGAGAGACGCGTTCCCCAGACACAAGGAGCAGGAGGGAAAGACCAGCCTGCAGCAACCTCATACAACCAATATTCCCCCCTTGGCTTGTCAAATTCGAGTGTCCTATTAATGCTCCAAATTTTTAACTCTAATGAAACTAGTAGTACAGCACTGAAGTATTTTAGAATATTCAGTACTCACTTCAATATTTCTAAATAATTCAGATGTCAAAAATGAATGTGGGGGAAGAAAGCAATTTAGCAGAGGGATTGTTTTATTTGCGCCTCCAGAGGACTGCTTTATTTCCTATGCTGTTATTTCTGTTTACACTCCCATAGAGACACTCTAGCAAATCAGTGAATTGGAAACACAACCAGACATCTTCACTGATTACATCTTTTCTTGAACAAAATCAGGGAAATGCTGTCTTTTGGGGGGGAAAAGAAAGGCAAACAAAAGTCTTTTAAAGGGTAGAACTATTGGATGAGATTTTATCTGCTACATTAAAAAGAGTTCCCAAACTACCTGCAGATTGGACTTTTGAATGCTATTATATATTGTAAATGAATTTTAAGGAACTCCTGTTGGCAATTATCTTCTTCTCAGAGCTGCCAAATCTCATTACCTTATCACAAATCCCACAATGTTCAATCATTTTCTTAAGCCACAATTCAAAGAATCATTGATTACCGAATGCCTTGCCTTTCTTTCTTTTTTTTTTTTTTTTGCTTTTTTAATAAGCACAGATTTCTCAGGGACACGCTTATTGCAGAAGGTGAAAGGAGTAAACACCAAAGCAGCCCAAGATGCTATCGTCTATCTAATATTCCCTCTAATGAAGACTGATGACAAGCACCACTCGGCGGGAGCGGGTTGCGGCCGCTTGCTGACAGCAGAATATGGTGGCACCTGAGGACTCCACGTTCTTCCCTGGAAAGGCCCTTACTGGTCATAAACCTCGTCCCGGATTAGTTTCCGCTCCTGGCACCCTCATCCGCCCTCCACCCGAGCCCCTGCTTCTCTCTTTCCACATTACTACAAGCTTCATGAATTTAAAAAATTCTTCTGGCTTCACTGGCAGCCTTCTCCAAGCTCAGGGTCAGTTTACAGTATCAGACCACATACAGCATTTTTTAACAGTATTTTTCAAATACATTTTGCTTGTCTGCAGACCCAAGGGCAGGATGTGCATCTGCTAACCATCCCACCATCCGATCCTCTCTGCAATGCATGTAAAGCCACCTCTAAGATTGCACATGCTGCATCTGCGTGTGGGTTAAGGTCGGGTTTCCTCGGCCACCACGAGGTCCTGTTCCTCGCGTGACAGGAAAGTGAGCTCAGAGTGCGGTGCTGCACAATTTAAAGCTGGGGTTTTCACCACATTTTCTACATCAGTCATTTAATCTTCTCAAGTTACTGGGAAAGCACCATTCCTCCCTCCAACTGCAAACACCTAAGGGATTTTGGGGCGGCGCAGACCATAGGGTTAAGAAGTTACGAGGTTGGTCACTTGCCAGCCCTCTCTAAGTTTGCTTTCCGTGTCCATAGGGGACAGCTGAAACTTATTTAACTTTCATTTGAGTTTCCACTCCGTGCAAACCCGCACCGGGGCAGCACATCCCAAGCGGCAAGCGCAGACCCCGCGTGAGCAGCGGCCGCCGGGAGGAGGCGCTTACGGCCACGCTGCGGGGCAGCGGCGCAGACGGGAACTCCCTTCGCTTCCCGCCCCGCCTCTGGGGAGCCGTTAACGGTCGTTAACG